TTCAACTTGTGCATTGTGAATGGGCCGCACTGACTCAGGTACTCCATAAATCATACATGTTATAGATGCTGTAATTATCCTGAACTGGCACTACTTAATTATATTACAACATTATATTTTTGTGTGCTATTTAATTTGATATATTGTAATCATTTAAAGTTGACCTAGAGTTTCTTTAGGGATTCCCACAAGGGAGAAAGAGCTAGGATCATGCTTGAGAGGCTCAGAGCTCAAAGAAGATCTCTTGAGGGCTACTAGTGGGGACTCCAAATTGGTTTCTGAAGGGCTAGTAAGGTTTATTGTGATCTATAGTGTGGCATGGGAAATGTCATCATTGGTAAGTGTCCTTCTCAGAGAAAATCAATTCATTTTTTTAACAAAAGGGCATCCGTCACTATTCTTGTTTCGAATCCCATGAGAAAAGCTCATTCCTGTGATGTAAGTGACTAGCAGGTCCTCTCTGCCTCTATAGGTCAGCTCCCCCTGCAGGTCTCCCAGCTCAGTGGTGGGGCTGAGAAGGTACAGAAACCCTTGGGAATACAAGGTTATGGAAGACTGAGATCTGTAGGTGAGGGTGGGGAGGCATGGGGGATTGCTTCTCACTTTGTTGGCATGGATAAGGGAATGTAGGAGAGTTGAGCAGAATTTAATTGCAGTGCAGTGTTGAGCTGTTTAATTTGCACCTGTTAAGAACAGTAGTGTCCTAGTTAACTGAGACAGAGATATAAAATAGGACTTCTGGGGCAGTCCTTGGGGTTTAGCTTACCAGAGTTCTCTTGTAGGAAGGTTTGGAAGCTGCTCAGAGAACAACACTTAAGGACTTTGTGGGTCAGGGCCTGAGGTCTGTCCGCCTACCATCCCTGTAATTGCAGTCACTAGCTCTGAGCATCAGGAGCTCCAAGCTCTCAGTCAGCATTATAGTGTGTGGCAGAGAACTTGCACTTGGGTTTATACCCCCAAGAAACTCAGAGAGGCCCTGCCCTAGCCCTTCCCTCTGTTCCTGAGGTACAGCTGGGGCTTTCTGCCCTCCTGACTCACCTTTTCTGACCTCTGCTTCCACGCTTGTCCTGAATGGCAGCTCCTCCTTTTCTCACATCTTGTGGGTCAAAAGTCATCATATTGATTGTACCCCTGAAGTGCTCTTGGATACATTTTTTGTTTAATTCACATATAAACTGGCTTGATGTATGTTAAGTACTGTTCAAATCTCTTTGTGAATAATATCTATCGTCTATCCATCTATCATCTGTTCTAAGTTGCTCATACGTTATTAGAGGCATTTAAGTCTCAAAAAACTCTATGAGAAATTGTTAGCCTGGACTGACAGATGAATAAACTGAGGCACAGAGAGGTTGCCTGAGTGCTTTAACCCCACAGAGCTAGGAAGTGGCAGAGCTGGGACCTGAACCCAGACCACGTGGCTACAGAGCTTTGTTGCTCAATCCCTATCCCTTGTCTGTCCTCAGCAGGGGTCTGCTGCTGCCCTGGGTGCAGCCTCCATGCCTCCTGCTGAGTTGCTGCACACTGGCAGTCCTCTTTTCTGAAAGTCTGAAGTTACATGTTGTAAATTATGTATTTGAAATATGTAACTCCCAGTTCCAGAAAGTCCAAATTCTAAACTTCCATTCCAGGTGGTATGTCCAGGAAATTGTGGGATGAGGTGACTCCATTTCCACAGCCTCGCAGCAGCAGGTGAGCACCACCCTGTGTCATTCCTCATGGGCAGCACACCATCATTGCCATGTTTTGGAAATTTGGTGGGAGAGTCCAGTCTCAGTGCCCAGTCACTGTTACCAGGCAAGTACTGTTATCAGTACCAGGTGCTGTTAGATTTGAAAATCCTTTTTGTGTCCTGTGACAATGACATCCAAGAGCTGGTGAAGTGGTGGGGCCTGCAGCTGTGCTCTAAAAATGGAGCTAACATCAATGGCTTTGCACTGGAGGTGAGAGGTACTAAAGTGCCACAAAGAAGGCTGAACAGTTACCATATGCACACTGTTGCTCATTTAGCAGCAAGCCCTTTGCAAAATATTGGAAAAAGTGCTGTATAAAGGAAAAGCAGCATTAAAGCCAAAGCCTGTTGCTGTAGTTATAGGTTTGCACACAGTAAGAAATATTCCTCCCAGTTTACATGTATTTCTTTGTGAAGATGAAGTGAACTTTGAATTAAATGTGACTGCCCTGTGCTAAGCTAAGCTCCTGATCTCTCTCTCTCTCTCTCTCTCTCTCTCTCTCTCTCTATATATATATATATATATGTCCTCCTCTCTTTCCTACTGAGAGGATGGCTGCCAAATTAATTCTGCTCAAAGACTGATCAGGTGACTGGCTTGCTCAAAACCTCCTGGGGCTCCCCACTGCCCATTAAAATTGGTCCCAGTATTCAACCTGTCTGATCAGAATAAGGCTGAGTCTCCCCACAGGATTCCTGACTTCTGAGGGTGGGGCACAGGGCCTACAAGGCATGCATACTCATGCCATCAGGACCATACCTTGAAGTCTGTCATCAGGACTTAACTGAGGGGTGAGGCATTTATGAATTGGGAATGAAGGTCTGACGGGGAAACTGAGTCACCACATCTCACAATTCCCAGGGTATACTACTTGGAGTGGAAGTTTGGGATTTTGACTTTTTCGAAATAGGGGTTATAACATTTCAAAGTGTGCTCTTAGCACAGTGTTACCTTGGTTCAGGAACTTAATTTGTGTTACAATTTTGGGGAAGATGGTTACATTTGTGTTTGTGTGGGGAAGATGACCGCAGTTGTGTTGATGCAGGGTTCACAAACAGAAGCAAATTTTGCCAAACACTACTATCTGCAAACCAAATTGTTTAATAGTGTACCTTGAGTTGCATAATACCTTGGTTCCTCATTCAGCAAAATAGTGCTTCTGTTCATGAACTCCACACTGGGTGACAAACACAACTGAGGCCATCTTCCCCAGAATCACGGAATGAATTAAGGTCGTGAACCGAGGCACCACTGTAATATCATAATATATTCATATCATATAACTTCCAACATTCGACAAGAGGATTCACATCTGCAACAACTCAGGCAGCAGATGAAGAGGCTGAGCCTGCCAGGATCATACTTGAGATAGAGTGGGAACTTGTGTTGTTCCACACATTCCCAGGTGGCACTAGATCAGTGTCTGGCACACAGTGGGCTTTCATTACCTATTTGTCAGTGAACAAATGGTCTTTATAAAGAGTGTTGCCTGTGAGACCAAACCTGCAAAAGTGAGAGGGTTCCAGGAACTTAGCCAACACTAGGTTTTCATTTCTGGGTGCAGGCTAGGCAAATAAAAAGAAAAAAAGAAAAAAGTTATGTGAGACAGAGTTTTTCCATCTTACCACTATTAACATCTTGGGCTGGATAATCCTTTGTGTGTGTGTGTATGTGTGTGTGGAGGGGGGTCCTTGACACTGTAGGATGTTCAACAGCATTCCTGGCTTCTAATCAGCTCTTGCCAGTAGCACTTCCCCCACCCAAGTCAAGTCATGAAGTCTCCAGACACTGCTCAGCAGCCCTGGAGTAAGGTTGGGGGCTGAATTACCTCTAGCTGAGAACCACTGGTCTAGGGCAGTCATTCTCAACTTGTCACATATTAGAATCACCTGTGGGGAAAAAGATAATGATGCTTCTTATTTTGAGACATTCAGATATAACTGGTTCGGGGAGTGACTGGGACACAGGGAATTCTGAAGCTCCGCTGGTGGTTCTAACATGTGGCCAGGCTGAGAACCATCAGTCTGGTGCCTGGAAGTCTAGAGGTTCCATAAACATTCCAGGCTTCCCAGTGCACCTGTCTTACTTGCTTTCTTGTTACTGGGACAAAATATCCACACCTACAACTTAAGGAGGAGAGGTTTATTTTGGCTCTCAGTTTTTAGAGGAGTCAGTCCACGGTCAGCCAGCTCCAAGACAGGAAGAACATGGTGGAAGAGTCAAACAGAGGAAAGCGGCTCATATCATGCTGACCAGGAAGCACATAAGGGAGGAGAGATACACATTTCCAGGTCATAGCCCTAGTGATCTACCTCTTCTGACCAGGCCCCACTTCTAAGGGCACAATCGGCTATGAAAGCATCAGTGGATTAATCCACTGCTAAGTACAGCACCTTCATGATCTAATCACTTTCTAAAATCCCCTCTTTGAACACATACGGGTTTCGAGGGGACACTCTAGATCTAAACCACAAAGCCACCTGTGAAGGAGGTGAGGCAAGTTATTATTGTGGCTTTCTGGCTAGAGAAGCATGCTCCAGAGGGGTGTGATATTGCTCTGTGCGTGAAGTTGGGATGTGAACTCAGCTCCTTTCAAAGATTATAGTACAGCCGGGCAGATCACCAGGCTCTTCCTTGTAAGTCTTCCTAGTGAGTCTTCTCATTTCTGATTGTTTTCCATTTTCCCACGTTTCTTTATTCAAAGGCACAGGTAGCCATCATTTACACTTTAGTATGAACAGAAGACTGCTCTCCTTGTTCTATCTAAAGTAGTGAAGAGAAAAGCTTTACATCGGCTGTAGGTGGAGTAGGAATGGTCTTGGGATGAAATAATGTGTTTGTGACATGTCTGAAATCAAATCCAATAGGTAATTGGCTTTGGTTAAGGGTCATCTCATTCTAGTTTTGGGCTGAAAATCCTGTCCAACTCCATGCCATTCACAAATGATGGAGCATCTCCTTGTGTGTGGTGCAGTTAGGAAGCCATTCTCTGTTGGCCAGACCTTCTTATCTCGGCTCCCAGTACCAGGGAGCAGGTGATTCTGTGGCACGCTCTATGGTTTGGCTCTGTCTGGACATGTCATGTGGAAGGTACGTAGTACACAGATGACTGAATATCAGGGCACAGGCAGCCCAGAGCCTTGCCTGTGCCCCTGAGGAAAGGCATGCCAGATGCAACCTCAGGACTAAATTTGCAGGTGGGTGGCATCAGGAAAAGATGGCCTCAGAAGCACTGGAGAAGAAAGTGGAGTGGAAACTTCTGCAAAATAGATGTCTTATCAGAGATTACCTTTATTGGAATGGCTTCATTTTAAGAAAAGGGAAAAGAGTCAAAGGCAATGAGAGACTCTGCTAACGGGTGATGGGCGTGGCTGAACATTTCTGCCCCGTGCTGTGCAGAGAGGGATTCTGCCCCAGGTCCATGCTACTCTACTGTTTCCTCCAGATCGAGGTCATCTGTCTGGGCCTCAGTGCACCTTCTTGAATACTTGCTTGCAGACCACACCCTGTACTCTCATCTCCTGAAACAAAAGCAGATGGTGGTTGTTGGCCAGTGCATTGTCATACTTGAGGCTCTGAGCATCTTAAGGCAAGAACTCTGAAAATAATGGCTGCTATTGTTCCCCATGAATTGAAATAATTATTTCCTATGAGAGTTAGTTGAACAGGATCAGCAGAGATCAGAATCTCTGTATCCTGCAGACAGAGCTGGCCAGGGGCACAGATGTGGCTCAGAGCTGGCCAATAAGAACCCTTGATACCTCTTCTCCCCTCACCACCTTCAAGAGGCTGAAAAGCTTTAGGAACCTAAAGCCTGAGCCCATGACAGAGTCTGTGCCCAGGCTTGGAAGGAACTGGGCCCATATATATGGCTCAATTGGTTGTTGCAGAACAAGGCTGCGAAGTGCACACTGGAGGCACCAGGGAGTTTGGAAATGCTTGCATCCCATACCACACCAGTTATATCAGTATCCCAGTAAGTGGAGCTGTGCTGTTATTACCATTGAAGCCTCCCAGGAATGCAGCCAAAACAGCCTGTGCCCTGCCCTCAAGACCAGCTCCTGTTCAGTCCCTGCTGACTGTGGCCAGGAGACAAGGACAGCTGTATTGTCATGTCCTCTGAGTTTTTTTCTTTAAAAGAAAGCTGGAAATCTGAATGTTTGTGTGACATATCCTAATTTTTAAATTGCTGGTTGAAGAACTTTAGTCTTTTTAGGGCTAAATAAACTAGACCTGCAGCTCCTAGTTTGCAACTTCTGGCATAGAGCCACAGAACTATTGAACTGAGAGAATAATAGAGGTCATTTCACCTAACCTGTTGGCTCTGCAGTTCGGGAAGCAAAGACCCAGGAGGAGACCAGGTTAAGGTTGGGTCTTGTAGCTGAAGCTCCCTGCATTAGGCTGGCCACCTAAGGAAATAACACCCTTTCGTCTCTCCTCAGAGATCTTTGCAGAACTTCTGTGAGACAGGATGTTATTATGCTGAAGAGACTGAGGAAGAGAAGGGACCTACCAAAGGGTACCCAGTGAATGGCCTGTGATTAGAACCCAGGTTGCCTGGATGAGGTGCCTTGCATAGTTAGAAGTAGTTGGGGAGTTCCCAGGGAAAGAGGAATAGTAGAAGGTGTCTCCTTTGGGGATACGTGCTACCTTAGCTTGCCAGGAGCTAATGGCTCTGCTCTGTATCTGTGTATGCTTTTCCAAGACAGCAGACAGAATGGAAATATCTTTTACCTGAGTTTCCAGGGTAGAGGAGAGGGTGGGTGGGTAAGGCAGGCTTTTCTTCCATCAGCCCTAGGCTGGGATCATGTCTTAGAGAAGCCTAGGGAGGCCTCCTCAACTCCAGCCTACCACAATTTAGAATAATGCACATATATATCATTTGGGAGCAAAAGTTGGTTCTCTCACTTTCTAAGTATGCAATGTGGGCATGTAATCTAGCCTTTCAGGACCCCATATCCTCATCAGCAAAACAGGAATAAATTCCTATTTTAAGTCACTAGAACAGGAATGGAAAAGGGATTCCATTGCTGATGCTTAGTAAGAGTACCTTCTCACCTTTTCCCTCTGATTGGTCAATGAGTTTGCCTAGATCAGTGCTGGCGAACATATCGCATGCATGCTGCAGCAGGCTGTTTGTATCACTGAAAACTCTAAAAGGTTTGCCATCACTGGCCTAGACCCTGAAAGTGCATTGCATGGTTCTAAAAGTCACTCACACATATTCTTCAGGCCCTTGGAAGAAAAGCTTCAGAGTAGAACCAAGACCCAGACATTGTATCTTTTCCCAAGTCTATCAGGACCTCCACAGTGACAAGGGTCTCTGGGGGCCCATTCTGGCCCCATCTAAGAACCTACCAGGTGCAGCTCGTCTCCCTCGATCCACTGGGTCCAGCCGCGCCCCTCCTTCTCGCCCTTCTGCACACACTGGAGCTTGTCCCCATCCCAGCTCACTGTGGTCTGCCAAGCAACAAACATAATCATTGGTCCTGGGAAAGCAGGCCCTGAGGACCAGGGAAGGGGAGCCCTCCAACCTTGATAAGCCACTCATGTAAATTTTATTATAGAAAATGTGCAGCACAATATTCCCTGCCCACCACAGGCTTTTATTAAAGTGTGCAAATCAGTTTTAAAAGTTTATGAAAACCTTCATAAATCTCATTTGGAAGGGTAATTAGGAGGGAATACACTGCTTGGTGGGGCTGTCATTGCAAAGGTTGAGAAGGGCTGGGAGTGGAGGGGCTTCTGAGCAAGAGCAGAGGCCAGGTGTGGGTGGTGTCACTGAGGGCTGTTTCCCTGGGTCTTGCTGGTGAGGAGCAGACTTCTCAAGAACTCTGCCTGTCCCCAAACATTTCAACCTTTGCTAGGTCTTGGGATATCCAAAGATTCCATCCCTGCCCTCAAAGAGCTCTTCATCTCACAGGGAACCAGCCATATGTACAAATGGTAGTTGATAGCCACCTGTCTGCTCTATCAGGCCCTCTTTGTGCCATGTCTAAGTCTTTGAGACTGTCCAGTTGGGTGTGGATTAGCAACCCCTTTTTACAGATAAGATTAAGGGACTTTGGTACTCAGGACACAGGTGAATGACACTCTGATGTTTCCCTCTCCACTGTGCTATGCTGCTTCTCTAAGGGCCCTGTATCATCAGCTTCTGGCCAGATACTACTCTGAAGGAGAGGTAAGGAGGCCCTGGAGGAGATGTTCTTGGAGGGCCATCGTGAGATGAAGGAAGAGATGGGACAGTACTGAGTATGCATATACAGGAACTCACACAGTGGGGGAAAGAGGTGTGAAACCCGACTGTCCTGCCTGGGTTTGGCAGAGCACAGAGGGGCCCTGCCTGATTCCCCTCACATCCCACACCCACTGTTGAACCCTCCCATCTTCCCTGAGCACCATGTGTCCTGCCAGGTGCTGAGTCTGCTGAAGGAAAGACAGATAGGAGTCCTTGTGAGATTTCATAGTTTCCTTGGAGCAACACCCTTTGCACCAGAATATGGAGCTCACAGTAATGTGCAAATTTAGAGGTGAGACAACCCTGCCTCCCAGTACGGCCATGAGTGCCTGGACCCATGTCTTAGAGCAGGGTGCACAGGAGGTGCTGTGAACATCGCTTATATTTGCACTGCTGGCCTCCTTTTGAATAGCCTTTCCTGTGGGTGATTCTTCATTATGAGTCTTGCCTCCCCACTGCAGTGGGGAGAACTGTTTGCCTTTGTTCACTGCGTGGCTCTGAGCAAGTGCATCCCTTCTCTGGACCTCCACAAGCCCATCTGCCCATATGAGGCCAGAAACCCAGAAGACTTGGCTTTAGATAGCTAAGGTTCTAGGAATCCTGTGTTACCTGCCACACTTAGCTAAGATCAAGACAGTCAGGAAAGGCTCGATAAGGACTTGGGGAGAGGAGAAATCTAGGGAAGGAGTACAGAGTGAGCAGAACTGCTCCCTTCTGGAGGACCACCTCTTTTCTCAAGGCCTATCTCATTGCCCATCAGCCTCCGTTCTGGGCTTGTTGATCACTGTTGCCCTCTGCTGTTGGGATAAAGTTTGTGCTGATACAGGTGCAAGGAGGGCTAGTGGAGTATGCCGTGCACAGGAATGTCTGACCTGTGATCTTGGAGCTTGTTCCCAGAGGGAGACAGGACACACAGGACTTAGGAGTTGGCTCCTCTCCCTGGTCTAGAGATTTACTCAGAGCTCACATTTAGCCCCAAGCCAGAGAAGGTCCCACCTCTGTCAGAATACAGTATGGTCAATGTCTGATGAGATTGTCATTGGTGAAGACTACTACTGATATTATGCCACAAATATGGCAAGACGCTCAGTCATTGGATGGATTATATGTCCCAGGCCTGTGGTGGGAAGTGGAGACTGAGATCTGTACTTAACTTCAAGGAGCTCCTAAGAACATTTGTTCTCAGCAACTGATTTTCTCTTTGTGTGTTTATCCAGAAATCTACTCTGCATGCGAAGGGTTCCTGACACCATCAGAGCATAGAGAGAATTGTTTGTTCTTAGCTCTGATAAACACATTGTTGCCTTTTTCAGAAATGTGAGTCCAAGACTACATTCATACTCTCCATACTGAAAAACAGAGGAAATGGCCAAAGAAGAAAATAGTAATAAAATGAGTGGACATGTAATCTTGCTTCTTCAGAGATAACTGCTCTAACATTTTGGTATATTCTATCCAGTCTTTTCTATTAATAAATACATATTTTTTTTTTGTTTTTACAAGATTAAGACTGCATCATTTATGGTTTTATATCCTCATCTCTTCATTTATTCAAAGCAATTTTCTATTTCAAAGAATATTCATCATAAGAATTATTTTAATTATTATGTATATTCAAACAGTGGTTATAAATTTGTAAGGGATAGTTTAAAATGAAAATGAGGGACTCTCATTAAAAAATGATTAAGATTTTAAAGACAGTGACAGCAGAGCAGTTAGGCAGGTGGGAAGCCCTTCTGAAGGACTGTATTGGTCACACACCCATGATACTGGCCTGGTGGTGTTTTGTTGTACTTGGATACCATTATTTAGCTGACTACTGACTCTGGGACACTTAGGTAATTTCTAATTCTGTGCTGCTGTAAATAAGACTGCCTTGAAGACATAGTTTTGCACACATTGTTTCCATAGAATATACGTTCAGGTAAGAAATTGTTGCCTCAAAGAATGTGCATATTTGAAGCCAATCCCAGTGCCCAGGAGGAGGCTCCCCTGCTGCCATTCCACCACGCCTAGGGCAGAGGAGGTGAGCCAATCCCAGCACCCAGGAGGAGGCTCCCCTGCTGCCAT